CTATTTCTAAATTGTAAATTATTTTTTGAAAAATTAGATGAACGGTATTTTTTCTACATTAAAGAGAATTAAGAACAGTACGACAGAAGTAAATATGTTCTCCTTATTTAATATTTATCTAGATTCACTGCATTATAACAACAAAAATGTAAACTGTGTTATTAGTGCAGAATAAATGGGTTGTCTAAGCGAAGTCATCGGCGAGCCAAGTTTAGAGCATAGAAAATTAAATGTTGTGTATTTTATATAGGGATAATATATATGTTTAATAATGGACCTTTACACCTATAGTAACAATAAAAAATATTTGGTTACATACAATAACCTGTTTTTTTCTACTTATGTTTTATTAGTCGCTATTGTTTGTTAAAGAAAGTTCTAGCTATCCATGTGTGTAAAAATAATAACCGCCATTAAATGGTGATGTGTGTGGTTGAATAAAATGTTTGCCAATGCATATACCCTCGTGACAAAATCCTTAATACTGGCCTACCTACTAAAGAACATAATATAATATCATTATTATTTTTATTGGCGCAAGTAGAGGGGAAGCTGAGAAAGGTTAGAACTTTTTAAACCTTTGAATGCTGCCTCAGAATTTCAGTAAAAATTTCTAAACCCTACTTGGGGGATATGTCTGTTTGGTTGCTTGAATTTTATAAGAGCCTGAACGAATTTAAAAGGATTTGAACTTCTCCAGCAGCCTCCCCGCTAGTTGCGCCAATGATTCTTTAATATATATAATACAAGTACAACTTATGTTTATTGGTTATACATAAAGTGTATATAAAAGCGCCACTACATTAAACTATTAAACCGCTCAGGCAAAAACATAATTTATTTGCTTCGATGGTTTATTCAGCGTCAAAATATCACGAGTCCGCATGTGTACGTCTTATTAACTGAGGTGGAAAACATTGACGAGCTTACGCCATACTGCACCAAGTCGCTTTGAGTAGCCGAAATCGTGAAAAACTATATATATATAAATACATATGAGATGATGTGTTTACGGTCGACCGGCTCTGTAAGTCTTACAGCGAAGTTATCAGCGGGTTTGGTATTTGCTCGATAAAGCGGCATTGTTGTTAAACGAATATCGCCCCACACAAGCTTGACTATCCACAATAATGATGGTACATACAACCGGATTTTCACACCGAAAATATTTAGAAAACTTCGTTTCGACCCTTAAACGAAACACCGGGAAACACGTATATAGACGCAATCGAAATTCAATGTTGTGGCTATTGTTTTTATTTTCAAAACTAGTACCTATTGTAGCGAAATCTAAACGTTATATATACTGTATAATAGTTGATATTGTAGAGTAAATTTGAAAATAAATATTAGAACAATAATTATTAGGGTTTTGCAATAAATAGGTATCACTCTTACAATGTGTTTTTTTAATATTTTATACGCAGGCAGTTCGTTAAGTAAACATTATAATAACCGACGAAAACTATTATTTTAACACAAACGGTTAATCAAAATATATAAACTAAATAATTTAAATTTCGTAATAAGCCAATAATTATTTCTATATATTTTGTATGATTATTAACTAGTATTTTTGTTTCAAAAAACAATAATTTAAATTTATTGAAATATTACATTTTTATTTATAAAAACCTCTATGTAAATCTTTTCTAGAAAAAATCAGCATTTTCTGTATGAAATCGTATTTCATTTTCAGCAGAATTTAGAACAGATTTGAGTATAAATGATCGTTTCAAAAAAATGTACTTTTAAATAAATTAATATTATTTTATTATTTATTATCATATTTACATAAAATAAATATTAAACTGCTACTGTGTAGTATTCAAAAGTTTCAATACGAAATGGTTATAATACTTCAATAAAATTATTTGGGTTCTTTTATATTATCCGTATACTTTTTTTTTTAAGAATCAGGCGGTAGCGTCAGAGGTTCAAAATATACTAAAGAACAGAGATGCACTCCTATTGTACTTCCATACCGCTACTTTAATTATACTATGATAAATACATCAATTACTAAGAACCGCATATTACAAAATATTAAATTATGGCTTCAGAATCTTCAATTACAGGTCGTTACACAGCATTTAGTTTCTTCGGTCGTCTCAGTAGTTAAGGCAACGGGTATATAAGAACAAGTGCATGAATTTTAATGATTTTTTTTCTCATTTGACCGGGACAGGGTATTGTTGTGTGGACATTGAAATCTTTAACTATGATTATGTTATGCAGATCTCTTGTTTTAACCGTTAAAATAATATTCGAATGTTGGTTTTAAATACATTTTCCATTTTAACCGTGTCCTTCATACAGCCAATACAACCTGTTACCATTCGTCATTTAGTATATTAGATAAGTCTCTCATTTATGAAACTATGTAATTATAATATCTTTAAATGCGTGTTAGTCCATTGTCATTTCATTGATAACAATTAACAAAGAATGTTAAAATAAAATGTCAGATACTAACATTTCTATCGTCTACAAACGCGACCGATACAGAAGAACATAGCCAACCACCAATCTACTTCAACGAAGAAGATAATATGATTTCCAAAACGGGTTCAACAAACTGTCATAATGTATTCAATCCTACGCGATTATATCCGCAGATTTTGTGGCCTCTTTGCCGCTGTGTAAAATTTGGAGATGAACATTCTAATGCTCAAAACCAACACAAGTTCCAGCTTAATGTATACAACGTGGGGGTCTACAAACAGCCCCATAAAAAGGTTTCCCTTCGCGTAGAGCACTTATAAAACCTCTAATAGCATCCAAAAAACCGCAGTACCTCAACTCTTAATAATAATTAATAAAACTGCACCGCGCAATACACAACGGTTTAGGCCAATCCAAGTAAAAAACTTAAACCCCATATTATTAAATTATTTCTCTATAGAAAACTATAGTTACTAATATTATTTCTTGGGTATTTTAAATCCAATATTAATGAAAATCTTAGTATAAAAGGTCGATGTTCGTTAAAATGGGAAAAAAGCAACATTTTACAACTTATCAAGAGATAAAAAAAAACATGATTGAAAACATTTAACCGGGTCTAATACGTGCACGATTATTAGCAAAAAAGCACCGTTTAAAACGAACAAGCGGTTCGTGAAACATTTTGATTTTCGTAAAGGGCAGGAATATAATAGAATAATATAAGCATTTGAAGTTGTAAGCCGGATTTGTAGTAGGAAAAACGCACGGGGCTTTTACAATGTACTATACACAAAATACACAAACATTCCTATACGATTTTGTACAAGGTTTGTGGGAGAGTTTATTGATGTCCGTCATGTTGAAATATTTCCACAACAATGGTAACAGATGAACATAGTACATTACACTATATATTTATTATAAATATCTGATACGTGTATCAGATAACATTTTTATTATTTGTGTTTAACTGGTTAAAGACCAAATAAATAATAAAACTACACAATAAAAGTAATGTTATTTTTGCAAAATATTTCAATGAAAACTAAATATATCAGGTACTTATATCACAAAAACAAATAATTATAGAAATTATTTTCTATATACTGACAAGGAGGTTATTTGATTCCAATATTGCTCTACTGATTTATGTATCACCACTTCTTAGAACCCACTTAACACAATTAGAATCTAATATAGTTGAAGCAGAGCCAGTAATATTCAACATTTAATTCGTTTAAACACCAATTATGAATAAAACATTTTCGTCCTTCTATCAAATAATAATTAATCTATTTTATCGACATTGAATTACGGGAATCATCGATAATACCAATTTAATAAGTTAAATGTGTTATAATGTTAGCACATAATCGCAAAACAGCGTAAAATGTATTGAAGTTGTTGACGGTCAATGCGGTTAGAAAACCCAAAAGTTTTCCAGAGCAAATTATTCATTAATTTTACTTCAAATAAAATAAACTTAAATTGGATAGAATATTTGTATAATTTGTTTTTGAGTTTAAAAATACATACTGTATAATTGAGTACCTATATCTGTTTTGGTCAGTTCAAATAGACATTTCAATTCAAGTGACACCCTTAACCCACTATAAAATGTTAACACACATATTGACGTACCGCTTGTACAATACTATTATTAAGCTGTTATAATTTTCGTTACTAAATATAGGTACAGACCCGCCCTGTGTAATTCCAAAACGTACCGCGGCAAACAACATGTTATTTTGGACTCAACGGGAATATGTGACAAATTTTTTTTTAATTGAACTTTCTAACGTTTGTCCGGGGATTCGAACGGTATCGTCGAACAGATCGACCAAAGCACTTCTCCCCGCCCGGCCCACGTGTATTATAATCGTTGTTTGTATATATTTTGTAAATAACACAACATTGTAAACACAACATAACATTCGGCAAGAAAACGCGTTAAGGTTTTTCGCCGTGTTTTTATGGCGCCATTTTATCGGGTTTTCTTGCCTTACGAGCCGCATTCACAAATCGTGCACCAAAACCGGGAAAAAGGTAACAAAAAAAAATTCAAATAATGAATCGAAAGCGTTAAACATTTTAAGATTGTTGTGCGAAACTAACAAGCAAGCCGCAAAGATCTCAGCAGCGTTTTCCACCACAGCGGAAATCAAACTCATTGAAGAAAACCCGTCGTCGGGCTGAAAAAACGGCAGGTGACTTTTATGCGTGCTTTTCCCGTCAAAAGGGTGAATTTATTTCATTGTTAGAACTCGACAAGCGATATCGACGCTTTCGACTGGTCTCATTTGTACTTTCGGTTCAATAACGTTGACAAAACGACTAACGTTTGAAAGGGAAAATCGTTTGTGATTTTCCATGGAAATACGTCATAACAACTTTGTTGTCCGCTCTATGAAATACAACTGTTCCGTGTACTTATGCCATTTAAGTACCGGCTATCATTATTACTGTTGTTGTGTAATAATAAAGAACCTTTATTTGTTTGTGTAAACATGGAAAAAAATGTTTTTATTTAAAGTGAAACAGCAATTGTTTACCTGATAAATCTGGTAACAACGGTTGTTATTTATTCGATTGCCAGTGCCCGATTAATCTGGAAAAAAAAAATACAATTTATTAAAATAAATACAATATAAAAAACCATGTACAAATTAATCACAACGATAAGAAAGCAAAGTTTCGACCGGGACATACGTATGCTATTGTAAATGAAATATTATGTTGATGCTATTTGAAATAAATAAAAATACAACGTGAAACATAATAATATTTGAGACTAACCATATTTTTTTGTCAAAACATTCGTTTCAAGTGTAATTATAGCAAATGATATTTTGTAATGGTACTTCTTATAAGAGAACCGAGTTCGGGAGATGATCTTCAACATAAACGTTGTCAATAAAAATGTCGCATTTTTGCCATCCCACTGGAGTGTACTTGAGATAACGTAATATACACTAATTTTTCTTTTTTCAATGGTAATACTTTAAAAATAATGGTGTCCTTTTAGTGTCAGTATAAGTAAGTAGTTTATAAACCCTTTAGTTGTTTTAGTTTTACGTAGTTAATAAGTATTGGTTTAAAATGTCTTTTTTTTTTTTATCTCAACACTAATTTCTATCACTTTGCAATAACCACTTGTAAACATTACTTCGGTTTTGTATAGCTTTCCGAACAAATCTTTTTTGCTATAAGCTAAACAACGCTTTTTTATAAGGGATTTTTTGGAAAACCTACCAGAAACACCAAATCTGCCGAAAACTGAGAGCTTTAATTTAATTAACAACGACATTACATTCGTCTATTCATTTTATAAATTTAATATATATTTAATGAATAAAATAAATATTATAAAACAAGTTTAATAAATTCTATGTATAATACTAAAGGTTAATTAGTACAATAATGTAGAAACATTATTGTAGTTATAAATTCATTGTCTAGGGACTTATTTCTATTGATATTTTGTATAATGAAAAATCGTGTTTTAATAAACAAATTAACTAAATACATATTCAAAAGAACTTTACTATAAAAACGATTAATTGATACACATAAAATATATGTTATTATCCGTTTTAATTATTACATGTTACAAGTTGGTTGGACTAACAATTAATGTCAAACAGAATGGTTTTATCTGTCATTTCTTTAACTATAATTTTGTAGGTATACAATACTTATTAGGAAATGTTTTTTTAAATTTATTTCGCGAATTGTTCATAAATCTTAAAACAATTGTTTTGAAAAGAAGCAACAAAAATGACCGAATGATTATAACACTGGAAATATTACTGTTATTTTGTTCTACTGTGTAAAATCGTAAAAGGGCCAACTTTTATCTTTTTGGATCTTGACACTTTATATATAAGTATAATAAAAATATATGACACGTGTCTAAAGCAGTATCAGATATCCTCCTGCTTTTCCTACTTACAGCTATTTATAACTTTTGCTTTGTAAGTGGAATTTTCGTTATTTTAACGGTTGAGGTTATTTCGTTGGTTTTCTTCTTTTTTTTTTTTTATTCCACGTTTATATTTTACAATTCTTTCTCGTGACTTTCATATCAACCCCTCTCTTTCTCCGCCATCCCCCGGGATCTCACGGGAATCCACTAGCGAGGCTAAACTGATATCAAAAGTGGAGCAAAGAAAGACAGCAGTTTTCCGTTCATCGTTGTCGTCGTCTCATCCATAGCAACAGTGTCGTTGTTTTGACACCACTTTTACTGTCACTACAGACATTTACTCCCCTCCCTCGGAATTCTGGTAGGATTGGTGGTAATGTGCTCAAAAGATATTCTATAAACTTTCAGGACAGGTATATATTTACTGCTGCGAAAGAAAGGTAATTTGAATCTGCCAAAAGTAAAAGTGTCTAAGTGGATCTTTTCAATTTATATTTCGACACTTATTATTCAGTATTCTTCCAATGAAGTGTTTTCAAGTTTTTTGATTATATATTTGAAACAAAAAGTTTCAATTTTATGTGTTATGCTGCATTTCTGTGCTTTTACAGCCTTTATTGAAGCAGGCATTTCTAAAGTTTGATGAAAAAAAAATGTACATATCAACACAAAAGCAGTTGATAAATTCAAAAGAAGTTTATCACCTATTAATAACCAGAAGAGGATTTAAATATTTTTCGCACTCTTAGCCAATAACACTTACTACTCCATTAACGTAATTTAATTTTTATATTTTCAGATTGTTAAAATAGAAAATGATCCAAGTAATGATCCTTTAAGAAACTGTTTGTTACATGCCCATAAATATGTCATTACCTATAAAATAAGTATAATCATTTTAAATGTCAATAATAACTTAAAAAAGTGCAAACTATGCAGTATATTATTGTTGAACCAATATAAAGTAAGGTATCGGTAAACGAATAGGTAGGTAGGTAGTCTTATAATTTTTTACGGTATCATAAATAGTTTTTTTTTTAGATCAATGTAAAAATGTGCACCGTTTATATTATAATCGTGTTTAAAAGCAACGTACATTGTTACCATGGCCAGTGTAAATTTTCGAAGGTCGTTAATTAAATTGTTCCCTCGGGCTATTGACGAAAGCTAATTACCATTTTCGCGATAAACAAACAAGAAGAAGTCTTAATTCATAGTTTGCTTTATAATGGCTGTTAATTTATTATTCATTAAAAAAAAAAAAAAAATGAAGTAAACAGTACGCTGCTCGTGTTCGGCGGTTATTTGGAGTTTAACAACATTAGTTAGGTAATAAAACGGCGTTAATACTTCATGCATTTTTAGAACGCCAAAAATAGTTAGCAACTTTGAGTTTTATGTGGTATGCTCTATATAAGAACCGATTATCATTAAAAGTAGGTATTAACACATTAGGTATACAGAACTATATGAATAATGTTGTTACGTTATAATAGTAATTTACAATTGGTAGTTTGGGCTTTACTGTAAACTATTGACCCGTTATGTTTCTCTTATTAATAGTCGTATTTAGCATTAGTGATTTTAACATTGTCGAGTTAAAATAATTTTTTTAATGAAGTCAATAAAAAAAAAAAATTGTTTTTGATGTTACCACTTTGAACACCAATGGAATGAAGTAGAGCGCTTTTAATGACTGTTGTATGTAATGAATCTCAATCATAACAATGGGCAGTAGCACTTGTGTCAATAGTGTGATGTACGACGTGACATCTATTCTGTATTTCACGATGAGAACCATTTGAGAGGGATCGATTTCTCGGGTAGTAATGTAGGTATGTATTCTGTAGTCGTCATAACTGTAGGAACGCAATTGTAAATGATATTGACAAACAATATAATTACTAATAGAAAGGTTTTTTAAATAAATGCGAACCTCACAATGCCGTACTTGTTCGTAGTAGGTCGCGCTAAAACTCAGTTTCACGACTCAATAAATTGTTTGCAAACAACATAATATATTAACAGTTAGCAGCGAGTCGAGTTTCAAAACGATCAAACTTTTGCCACAGCAAACAAAGCCCTTTCTATAAAGTAATATTTGCATTTGTTGTCTGTATACGTCACACACATCAACTTGCAATTATTCTCGCAGGCCTTAGAGTATTTTCCCATTTATATTACGATGTAAATCAAAATAATTATACAATCAATAATTGCTGTCCCACCACAAACATACATAGGTACTGTACTAAACTTAGGTTTATACCTATGATTATCAATGAACTTATACAAACACGTTTAAGCAAATTTTTTACGTTGTAGGGTTAGAGTATTTAAATTGAAACAGCTGAGTTAATTTACACAGTACTAGAACGTATTGTTATAAGTTGACAAAACATTTTCATTGTGTTTATGACATACCGGCCTGTTTCATTCACGAAGGAGTTAAGGCCAGGCAATTCGTCCAACACTCGTGTAGTTGTGGCAGTAGCCACTATCAAAATATAAACAACAGATTTGGTGATCAGTGTACATTGGTAGGTCTATATATGCGTTAAATATTTGCACCCGTATGCACAAGCTGAACGACACGTGTGGCGGGTACAAAAGTAAATATTTACATTTCACTCGACATTCCAACGACATTGTCCTAAAGCGGATTTCGATTTTTTTTTTTTTTAAATAAATTCGATTTTCCCATGGCACGTACGAGGGACCGAACGAGGAATTTTTGCACAAGCCGAGTTAATTAAATATTTTTGTTTGATAAATTGCATTTTTTTTTTTTGTAAAAATACATACATTTTCTAAAAATATTTTTAACGAAACTAAGGTAAATTCATCCACAGAAAATGTAAAATAAACGAGAGGGAAACAAACCAATGACAAAATAATTGTTGGAAAAACTAAGAATGCTCTTCACATTTCTTTACATTTGTTATAAAGATTCGTTATTTTTTTTTTTTATTTAATGGGGCCGTACAAATGAACTGTAACGAGTGAAAAATGTTCAACAATTTACTACCTCACATAACTTTGTTCCATTCACTCGACAGTTCTAACTAAGAAGCGAAGTCGAGTTGGTATTTATTATTTCAAACGTTCTTTTTATACAACGCTATCAGTACTATCAACCCTTTTTCTTTTTTACGCTTATCTATTTGCTATCTCTATAGCTAATGGTGAAAATACAAAAGATACCCTACTCAAAAAATGTGTAACGTCAAGTTAAAGTCATACATTTATTAACTCTTATTTTTTAGTCACTCTATTTAATACATTTGCTACAAAGTTATCTGACAATCGCGAAAACGGAATAGATACCGTTATGCAATTCCCGTTTCGGCGTCATTTAATACCTATACCTACAACTGGAAAATTCTGAATGGCATTTTTTATTTTTATTTTTTTGTTAAAGGAAACTCAATTGTATTCTGAGGCCTTTGAACCGTGCAACGAATGAAGATTGAATAGCTTATATATTTTTTTTTACGATGAACAATATCTAGTTGCGACTATAAATTATTTTGAACGGCCAATTAATTTGTGTATAAATAATTTATGTTCGCTGCACCTGCTGCTTGCTTAAAAAAAAAAAATAATAAAGTCATTAACAAAAAAAAAAAAACTATTATAACACTGCGTCGCTATGACGTTGTATTGTTTCACTGTAACAATAA